CTGGGGCTTGTATCTTACCCCCTTCACAAGGCGCTGGGTTCTTGCAGGTGTGGATGTGGTCTGGATGTTGTCCTGTGTCCTGTGGTCTCTATTTTAGGAAGATTTTTCTTTGTTATATTTTCATAGCTCTATGTGTTTTTGGGAGGAGATTTCCACTGCTCTACTCACGCCGCCATCCTGGCTCCGCCCCCAATTTAAGTTTTTATAGCACAAGTATTTTACTTCTTTGGTTAAATTTATTCTTAAATATTTTATTCTTTTTGATGCTCTTATAGCATTTTTAATTGAAATTTTGAAATCTGGCAAAGAGAGAGACCATCTTCATGGGTCATTTCATTTCAAACCATCATACAGTTCCCATATCTGAGAACTTTCTCCTTGGAACCACCAGCCTAGTTTGATCTAAGGGGCAGGCACCACTCAGATCTAACCTACTTAGACCAGAGTCTCACTTGCAGACACCCCATGCTGAAGGAAGAGCAGCATGCCAGCTTCTTGGCTTTTAACCACCAGGAATCCTAGGTTACCCTGGCAATGAGGCAGAAAACTGTACAGAGCCTGACCAGCACAACAGAAAGGAGGCCAAAGAAAGCCCAACCTAATTTATAAACACTAGTTTATCTCCTATAATGAAATAGTTATAAGTTTAATAAAAGCTCTGAAAGGAAAATTTATGATTAGATAATCTTTCTAGAAACAAGTCCTCTACATTGTAGAAGACCAGCTACTATTAAAATAGGAAAATGTGCAAATTAATGAGATTTACATCCAAATAGTATTTACAAACAGGCTTTTGAGAATGTGATTCTTCCTTGGACCTGTATTTTGTGTACTTCTAACTCATCACTTCCATGACTGGCAATATTGCAGGATCATGCCCTGGTTTTGTTCTATTCTCATTCTTTTACTTCTGGATATCAATTACATTTTAATATTATCATTGTATTGTTTTTAAAGTGCATAATTCTACTTGATCATGCTTTATTATAAAATGCTTTTTCACTACCACTCCTTTTTAAAAAGGTTCCAGGAATACACCTTTAATAGAATAGGATTTTAAAAACAGAAAATGATAACCAGGAAACAAAAGGTTTTCAGTAAGCACAGTTTCATGCATTAAAACAAAGAAACTAAAAAATGAAGTTTGTGGCATTTTACATTTTATGTTTTCTGTTTCAAATATTTTTAAAAATTATTTTACCCAGAACCCCTGAATTGTTTACAAATACCATAGGTCTCGTTAGCTTATTTTCAAAAAGATTGTTTGAATAAAGACAACTGGCCAAGAAGGAAAACAAAGAGGCAACACTCAAAATGTGAACCCCAAGTCCATTTTGGAGGCGTTCAGTGAATAAGAGTCTCTCTAGCATACTAAGAAAGCTGATCACAGAATTCCTTGGCCCGGAATTCTTGAATGATGATGATTTGTCTCTGAAATGTCTTTTATTGTTTTCCAATGTTGCATTTATATCACAACAGTCCAGAACCAATACTAATCCAGCAGCATTTTTTTATGTGATTGAGAGTAGTATTTTTCAAATACAGTCTATGCATAATATCAAAATTAACACCATAGTAGGTGGAAATGAAAGCTTAACAAAACCAAACTGCAACACAATTTTTGTATGAAATCAAGATCATGGAAATATTTAATGCTGAATCTCAATTAGGTACTTTCAACAGGTATTGAACACTAAAAGTATCTACTATGAAAAGGGCAACTGAATCCTTGATTTTTGTTCTGAAAATTTTCACTTAAAATATTAGACAAACATGAAAAAAAATGTGTGTTAAATTCTTCCACATGCAAGTCATTTGCCATCCACTCAAAATTCTTCATACTTCATTTCTTTACTAAAAATCGTGTGATATCTGATCCATACTTTGATGCTAGAGAGTCTCTTCTCACTTGGCTTCTTTCTTTGGCTTGTCTGGCAGTTCTCTAAAAGTTAAAAAAAAAAAGCATGCACACACATTAGGAAAAAAGTACTGGCTACAGAAATTCAAAAATGATTTGGGTTCTGTTAGTCTGGGAAATCTACATTATCACCACACCCACTTACCCCTGTTTAGCCATTGAGGGGCTACCAGGCCACCAGAAGACCCTAGTAGCTCTGGTAAAAGTGTCCTGAGATGCTAGGTTCAGTCAAGACCAGATGCTGGGGAGAAAACACACTGCTTTGGGGCATGTCTTGCTGTCCAGGGAGCAGCAAGTTATTTGGGAATGGGGAAAGGCCACGATTTACATCATCCAAGTGGGAGCTTGTAAGGCATCCTGGGACTTCCCCTGGTGCAGAGCATGCAGGGCCCACGCTTCCTATTCTCTGGCTCAGAAGCCACTCCCAGCCCAACAGCTGAGCCAACGCAGAAAAGCAGTATGAGGTCAGAACCAGATTCTTCTACTGCTCCCAGAAGTAAAATTTCCATGAGAATCTGAAAAAGTGATTACAGAAGGGACAGCAATTTCCTTTGCTATATTGTAAATCTTTTATAAGGTCTTAAATGTGGTAATACTTTGCACAGCTAAGATATCAGATGACTTTTTCCCAACGGAAGTCCATGTATATGTGAAATGATCCAGGCAGAAGGGATGGGGAGAGAAGAGAGGGTTAAAACTAAAAACAGAAAACCCTGTCTATATGACATGATCCCACTTATATAAGAATTATGTCTGTGAAGAAATTGAGGAATCCAAAATATTAAAAGAAGGCAAAAAAATGCTCATACAAGATGAACTTTGGCAAAGGATCTGAATAGTTTTCAAAAGTGGAAATATAATTGATTAGCATTTTTAAAAACACCAGGGTATTTAGTAAACAAAATAATGGAAGGCCATCCCTCTCCCACCAATTCAGCACCGACTGGCGTGGTTAAATGTGCACTCTTGTTGCCTGACAGGTGGGGGGAACACAACCAAGTGGAGTCCTTTGGAAACAGGTTGGAGATAAATTCCTACGGTCCCCATAATATCCAAATAACTGGCTCAGTGATTTCCAAATCTGAGAATCTATCCTAGAGAATGACATCCAACTGTAAAAAACCGTTTGTATACAAAAAAATACTTGGCAGCATTATTTATAAGAATGAGAAAATGTAATATAATAAACAACTTCAATGTTCATCAGTATGGGAATGGCTAAATAAAGTATGGTAAAGAGCTACTGATTCGAATAATGTGCAGCCATTTAAGATGATAAACACTATGAATTTTTATCATGGGAAAATGCTTATATCTTATCATGGGAAAATCCTATTGTAAAAAAAATTGGATACAAAGTTGCATATTGAATATATATATAATATATATATGTATATATGCTTCTTTCTAAGATTACTTCAACAGGTAGATCCTACCACCTTTTGCTAGACTATTGAAAATTCATCTGAGTGGATAAACAATACTGTCATTTTTTCCTTCTTGTTTCAAGCAACAGATAATTAAACTCAAACAAGTAACAAATTTCATAGGTTTCATACTTTGCCAGGAGTGCAGTGTTGCATGTTGAATGAAATTTTTTCTAATATATTAATGTTCTCAGATATTTCAGGAAATCCTTCACTGCAAATGTGAACGTTTGTCACTGCCCCAGTTCAACAAACTTAGTTTGATGGTGTGGCTCTCTTCAAGATTGTACAATATCTAAGTTGTATTCATTTTCTTGTAGGTGGTGGTGAAAAGTTCGTGGCTCAGAATGAATGAAAAAACAAGCAGCTTCTCTCCCATCTGTGACTGAGAACTTACATTGGCTTCAAGAGGAAACTCAAGTGTGAGTTGATACAAGTAATAAAATGCATCTCAGATTCCAGGCCAGGGATACGGGTCCATCCACATCATCTCCCACACCTTTATGCACAATTTTCCATTTGATTCCCAGGATGGAGTCAAATGTGTCTTCGAGTGCCACTGACCTCTCTGTGACAGATGGTGCAGAGTGTCTGCAGGTTGTCCAAGGAGCACTGTCCTCCTCCACTGGACACTGGCCTGATGTGATCCACCTGCCAGAAATGCCCTTCCCTCGGGTTTCTTATCATTTCATTAAGCTGCAATAAGAAAACAAGATCAGCACTTTTCAACATACACTGTGGCAATGGTTCATTCTGCATTGTGCAATCATGTTTATATAGCAAAATCACAGGAAAAATACATTAGGATGGCTTTTCAGAGATTTTATTGTGAAGAGAAAAAGTTAGCAATTTGAAAGCAGTAAAATATGTTTCTGAAAAAGTTACTTTTCCCTTACCTAACCCATTTTGAGAAAATTATAAGAAAGTATAAAATAGCAATACTCCTGACAGTTTGGGAAAAATAAGTTGCTCGTGCATCTTTGACTAGCTTATATAGTCTCTACGACAAAACTGAGAAAATAAGAACAGATCAGAAATTAAAAATTGTGAATATTACTGACCTGAACAGTTTTTAACTATTGACCTAAATACATTTATTACTATACCAAT